CTAAAATATCCTTCTCCCCGCTTGATTCTGCTGAAACAAAATCTTCTTCTTCTTCAATTTGGCATTGATTTCTGCTTCTGGCGTATTAGGTATTTGCTTGGAGTCCTTCTGAAGACGAGAATTCCTCACCCTGCTGATGACGTGAAAAAGCTTAGAGCCCATCAATTCTCTCAAGGTTGGCATTTTTATTCTTTCATTTCCTTTTTTTTGCAGCTGAGAAATCGCAAAGAAATTTCTCTTCTCTTTTTTTAAATATAATTTAACATGATATTCATTCGGATGTCTAGAATCAATCACATAAGAATGTTTTTTTTTCTTGAAATGCATTTGTTTTTCCGTCAAATGCAGTTGTTAATGGGTTTGATTTTTGTTCGATCCGTAGAAGCTTTTTCATTCTGTTCTTCGGTTCTAACATCACATTTAGATTATATTTTGGTTTGGAATCATATATGTAATTGAACCTTTTTTCGCTTCTTTAGGGCCGGTTATGACCAAGTTTACCATAGCATTGAGAGAAATTGGAACATACAAGGAAGTTATTCGGTCCCATGTAATTCTCTGAACTATCGTTTTAACATGAATTCAAATTTATTACTGAGGAGTAAGGACCTAAGATAACTGGTTTTGGATAAATTCACTCTTTGGCATTCTCCAACTGCTGCTGTGAATACCTGGTGAAAGGAAATGATAATAATTTAGAAATGTCAGTAGTAACTAATCTTTTGTTGGTTGTTTTCTTCATGGATATTTAACACCATCTATGTTCTATAAAACTGTCCTTTCTTTTCAAAATTGTGAGAATATAAATTTTACTGCTATATTGAACTTTGACACTATATAGTTCATTGTCCAATAATATTAACATACAATAATATTTATGAAATGCTTTCTTTTCTCTCTAGGTTGAAACCAAGCTAAATGACAAATTACTGCAGTTTGTCAATATTTATTTACTTGAGGTCAAGGTAATTGCCTTTCTCTCATTTGAGATTTAAGTTACCCTGTAAAGTTGTGAGGATTTGGAACTAGCTAAAAGCTGGACTGCCTTATTAACCTTTGTTATGTAAAAACAGTCTTATCAAGAGAAACATAGGTTATTTATTTATCACTTTGCTATAGATTCATCCAACTTCTTATAATCTGTGTATAATTCTAGATCATGTATTTTTATTTGTAAACTTTTTGTTTTAAAATATCTTATCTGAGTGCAGGAAGCACGTAAACACTTTGACAAGGCTAGTCTCATTTACGACCAGGTGCTTTAGAATTTAAATTTATTTTGCTTGTGTAGTTTGTTAGCTTTCTTTATTTTCATTGATTGAATGTGATAATATAATTTGGAGTTGGCCTAAAATCAAATTAATTGTTACATTGTATTGCTTTGTGTAATCTTGCATGCTCGTAAAAAGTTTCTTTCACTAAGAAAAAGTACAGAGTAATATTGCCAATGTTTTGGAAGAGGTATCTTGCAAAATGGCTTGCTTTAATGGTTTATAATCTCATGTATTTGACATTCTTACTTGCGTAGATATAATGTTGATGGATATTTTAGTCTGACATGGTTGGCGTTATTCTAGGAACTTCATAATGCAAGGTCAACATTTGAGCATGCTCGTTTTAATCTAGTGAGTGACTTGCCAGCAGATGATTTCTAAATTGATGTTGCTTTGATAGTTCAAAATTGGTTCAAGATGGTAATTACACTACTGTGGTTTACAATTACAGGTTACTGCTCTTTCAAATGTTGAAGCCAAAAAGCGATTTGAGTTTCTGGAAGCTGTCCGTGGGACTATGGATGCTCATCTTTGATACTTCAAACAAGTTATCGCATGTCATCACTTCTTTATTTCTTTCTCATTGTTTCAAATTTCAATCACTTGCTGAATGCATTGCTCACGACTAACTTTGGTCATTTATAGGGCTATGAATTATTGCATCAAATGGAGCCATACATTAATCATGTTTGTTATCATAACTTCCCTCTAGTCCAAAACATGTATTTTCATCTCTGATTGTGCTGTATTTTATTCATCCAACTGTTCCTAAAAAAATAATATCCATGTACCGATTATAGTATCAGTTGCTCAAGAGATTAGTCATAGTATGTTATAAGATGCACGACTTATGATTGGTTTTCCCTTTGAAGCAAACCAAAGCAAAAAGGGATCTTGTAACTTGAATTGATGATTCCATGATATCTGCATGACATCATATTGATCTGAATATCCATTAAGGACATAGAAATAGGAGAGAAATTGAAATGTCACACCACCTTCCTCGAGTAATAATATGACTATCTTTGTTCGTTAACAGTATCGATTGCAGCTTACTTTATTACTATTGATAAAACCGTGTTGGAAAGTGCTAGGAGAAATTCTCGAACTCAGTTGGACAAAAATGTTTGAATGCCAGAATCAAAGGTAATGGCAAAAGTTCTAAAAGTCACTATAGTTTAATGTTGCTAATTTATTTTATGGCAAATGATGTCGTTATCCCTCCCAATAAAGTTGTTTTAAGAGTAAATAAATGATTATTATAAAAAAAAGTAAACAAATGATGTTTTAAGTTTCTGTTTACAGTCATGAGGTTATATTTCTTGTATCTTTTAACTTGAAACTAAGTTAATCTTTTGACTTGGATAATTTTTTGTGTATATAATATAGCCAACATATATGATTAAGTTTAGAATGTCATGTCTATTATCTTTTGTAAGTCTGAACATTGTACAAACTTTTGATGATTAATGTTATACTTCTTTTTGTTATGTAGTATATGTCTTGCAAGTAATGTGCTAGTTTTCGAATATGTTAATTACTTTTTATAAATTTAAATATTATATTTTTAGATAAATTATGTAAAATTTAATTAAATGTTGAAGTAGTGAAAGTTAAAAATCCCTACTATTGAACATTTAATTAAATGTTGAAGTAAAATTTTAATATATTTTTAGATAAATTATGTAAAATTTAATATTAATTAAAATTAAAATAATACATGATATATTTAAAAAATAAAATAAAATATTATCGATGAATTTTATATAAATAATTTTTATTTAAATATATTATAGATGAATTTTTATATAAATAATTTTTATATAAATAATTTTTATTTAATAATTATAATTTCACTTGTACAAAAAATATAAAACAAGGTCAATTTGGTAAAATATAAATTCCAGTAATCTTTTATTCTTTCAACCAAATACTGTAATCTTACATTACTGCCAAACAAACCAAACACAGTAATGTAACATTCCCAGTAATGTGTTAGGTAATGTTACATTCCGGTAATCCTATTTTCACTGGTAATCTTATATTCCTTGAACCAAACGTACCCTAGGTATTGTAAAATTACCGACGTTTTGGACTAAAATGCCCTTAAATTTTTATTTTTATTTTCAAAAATATCATTCTTCTGTCATTGAATAATAAAAATTCTACGAAGGTTAAATTACAAAATTATTCTTAAACTATTTTAGATTTACAAAAAAATCTATAATTAAAATTTTATATGAAGTTCAGGGGTTAAAATAAAATTTTATCATTTCATTAAATCTTTTTATATTTTCAATTTTGTAAAAACATTTTATAAATTTTATGAATTTAAATTTTTTTAAAGAAAATATATAAATATTTTCTAACTTGTTAAAAAAATAAATATATAATAAGGACAATTTGGTCAAATATACATTCCAATAATCTTTTATTCCTTTAACCAAACACGGTAATCTTACATTCCTGCTAAGCCAACTAAACACAAAATACAACACTCTCAGTAATCCTATTCCCTAGTAATCTTACATTCCCACTGATAATCTTATATTCTGTGAACTAAACGCGCCATAATTGTAAATATCAAAAGGATATAGGGAAATTATAGACACTGACCTAAGAAACATGCGCATTACGCACCGCGTGTAAGGTAACACTTCTGAGTACGTTTCAAATTATGAGTTCCTGGTTTCCATTGTTTTGAAAACCGGACCGACCAATTCAATCGGTTCAACCGGGAATCGTTGCCTAGTCCGGTTTAAACTAAACCGGTTGAACCGCTATTAGTGAACCAGCCATAACCGTTGAACCGTTCAAACCGGACCACTGAAAATCACTAATTTTGTTTAAAAAAAAAAATAAACCAAACGACGTCGTTTGTTAAACGAGCCAAGTCGAACTCGAGTATTGCTGAGCTCGACTCAAACTTTAAAAGTAAGCTCAACTCGACTCAAACTCACGAACTAAAAATTATCAAGTTCAACTCGAACTCGAAATATAATATTGAAACTTGAACTCGAAAAGGCTTGAACTCAAAAAAAATTTAGAAGCTTGATTGAAGCCTAAAATTCGAGCTTGATTGAAGTGAAAGAATAGTTCACTCTATGCTCACCAAAAGACTTCATGATTTTGAATGTCAAATTACCTCTATTATTTATAGATGTTAGTTGGGATGTTCTTCTATATTTCTTAGCCATGTGGGATTGTTTTGTTCTCATATTTTTATTCTTTAGACTTTTGGGATGTTCATGTTCTTCTATGTTTCTTAGCCATGTGAGATTGTTTTTTTAAAAAAAATTAAACCAAACAATATCATTTTGTTATGATTTTTTAGCCCCAAATTTATTTTTTTATTATAGTTATATAATTATATTTATTATTTAATATGTTTTACCTTAAATATTATGTTATAGTTAATTTGAATCATTTTGTTTCACTTGATTTTATGGTTTTTAACTCATATATGTTATGACATGCTTTGAATATGACTTGTGATATACAAAATTATTTTTTATTAAATATTTTTAGTATTTTTATTTAATATTTTAAATAATTATGACGTCGTCCGATTCTTCTAACCGGTCAGACCGATTCGACCGGTTGAACCAATAAACCGATAGCATGTCCGTTCGTTAACCGGTCCGGTTATAAAAACCATGCCGGTTTCAAGCTGCTCACAACAGGTTTCTCTTTTCCCGCTTCTTTCTTTCTCCTCCCAAAACGACCATTACTCTGCAAGTCTACCGTTTCTTTTCAGTTCTTACAATTTTCTCGTTCAAAATCGCCGAGCAAAACCGAAAATCCAGCGCTCTTTAATTATCAGGTGAAAGGTGACTCGTTTGAAATGATGTTTCTCTCATTTTCAATTTATTCTCGAATCGGATGTCTTTCTCAAATGTTATTTCACGTTTTTCTTTTAGATCTAAGAATAACTATACTGCGAATTTATGGCTCCGCTTTCTCATTGTTCGTGTTTTTGGATTTAAAGTTTCTCGCAGACTGCATACTTTTGACCTTTCTATAGCTGTTTGGATTCAAATTTCTGCTATTGTTTTTTCTAATATATTGTTGACGGTTTTTCTTGTGATTGGAAAAATTGAGGATTGGATGATTTTCGTTTAATATTTTTTCTTGTTGTAGCATGGGATCATCGATATTGTGCTAAATATCTATTATTATTTTTATGATTTCCTTTGAGATCTGATGATTTGGTGCCTCTTCCTTTGCTTTAGGATTTGTTTGGTTGTGGGAAACAACAAAATCGTAGAGAAAAAAACGGTTAAAAACTTGGCATCTCATGAGAAAGTAGAGAGATCTCCTAAGATTATATCTCGCATGACTTGAATTATGATTTTGCGTTTTGCATTTCCCCAATAACCAAACAGAGTTTTAGACGTGTACATTTCTCTGTTTGTTTCTTCTTTTAAAATTCAACGGTTTCTCTACAGGTTGCTTCTAGCTAGCATGGCCTGCTTAGCATAAGCTTTTCTGGATAACATATTAGTTTTACGACCTATGGCATTTTATTAAAGTATTATGTGGTGGTATTTTCTAATACTTGATTAGTTTTGCAATTCTATTCAACTGCATTGTTTGTTACGAGTAGATTATTTTCAAGTTATTGCAACTTCTTGGTGTTGTTTTTGCGGAATGTCCTAATTATTTAATGTTGACATTTTTGAATAGGTTTATACTTATATTAGAGAAAAACTAATAGCAGTGAATTGGTATACCTGTTACTGCATTACTATTCCGGTAACTTATTGAAGCTCAAATAGCTGCTCTGAGAAATTTAGTGTTTGATGCCCAGAATTTTTTTTCAGGATCGAATGAGTGACTGTCGAAGTTTTGGCAGCAATTTTCGTCCATCCAGCCAATCTAGAAAGATTTCAATTGGAGTATTGGTAGACTCTTTAGCTAAGAGAAAACCTGGAGGCAACAAGGAAGATCAGGATAAACAGGCAAATGCAGAAAGAAACAAACCTAGCGTTGGAATTTCCTCGGGGGGAAAAAACAAAGGGGATGCTTTCAGAACTTCCAAGGGGAATCAAACTGAAGATAATGAGCAGGTTAAGTCTCCATGGATTACTCCTAGATCCTTGCATAGAGAAACTCTTTATCCAGAGACTACCTCTTTACCAAAAGAAGCGTCCAACCCCAAAGAGAAGAAACTGAATACAGTGAAGGATGTTCCAGAAATAAATTCATTTTCGTTTTCTCAAAACCAAAACTTTAGTGCACGTAATGTTGGCAGCGAGCAGCAAAAGTTTGATGGCCTCATTACTGGCCTAAACTACAAAAGGAAAGGAAGGAAGGATGACAACTCACAGAGGGTGGAGGAGTTCAATTGTGCAAATCAATGGAAAGATAAAGTGGAGTTAGAGCAAAAGGCAGGTAAAACTGACAGCATACAAACTGAAACTTTGAAAAAGAAGCTGCATGAGTTGTTCGCAACTGTTGCTTCACCAAAAAGTCTTGAATCTAGTTTACAGTCTCATAAGGTCGGTTCCAATAATTCAAAACAAAGGAGAAGTGGTGATAATGTGGGAGACACAGCTATAAAGTACAGAAAAAATTCAGTTGATGTAGAAATTGTTTCAGAAAATCCTGATAAGACTGTTAAGAAGCCCGCAACCCGTTCCTTGATCCAAAAGCGAGCTCTAGCAAAAGTGCAACTTGCTAACTCTAAAATCGATTTATCCTCCAAGCAGAAACACGGAGATAGCATCTTATCTTTTGGCGAAGGAAGATCTGCAAAGCAAAAGTTCTAAAACAGATCCACATCACATCAGTTCTCCTGAAGAGGAGAATGCAGATGAGATTGAAAGCCTTCCTGACTCTTCTCGGGAGAAAAGAGGAGAAAACTTAGAGAAGGTTCAAGAAAAGGACTCTTTTCATTCTCCAATGCTAAACGAGACAAATGAGCAGGTGAATTTTGACAATACAACATCACCAGGAAAATGGGATAAACAAGAAGATGATGGTAATATATCCTTGAGGAATTTTGTACATGCACAAGATGATTTCCAAAGTCCAACTTTCAGGTTCAATACGCCTATTTTAAATACTTCTTCAAGCCCAACACCAAAAACTGTAGAGATAGAGCGAGGTACTTGTAGTCCTGTACCCTTTGAGAGAGGATTTTCCATAAGAAATATTGGGAGCTTCAGGACTTTCCGAACTTCAGGACCTGCTAGTCCTAAATCCAATGCAGAAGCTCAGTCGTCTGTATCCTTAACTATTTTTCAGGATTTTAATATAGGAGTTGAATAGTGTCTAAACTTGACCATTATATTTTCTGCGTTTGCCCTTCCTTATTGAGTTCCAGGAAGATACAGAGAAGCATACAGCTTCTTCACTCAGGAACGGAATGCCTGGTAAGGAAACAATTGATGCAGTAAATGAGCATTCTGAACCATCATCATCAGCATCAGAAGAACAGTTCTCTGAAACCTTCATAGAAGGATCACCCATTATTGATAGATATGATTGTAAGTATATAAAATGCTCTTCTGAAACAGAAAATATGCATTCCTCCCAACTTTTATTAGGATGTGATTTACCAGTAGTTACTTCTAAATAGCCATTTTTCCTAAACAATCAATTAATGGGATGAGAAGAGTTCGTATTTGCCTTTCCAGCTCACGTTGTAGCATTCTACCTGATTTATTACTGCCGATAGATTCATTATCAATGGTTGTCTTTCCTAGAAGTACAAAGATTGGAAAGTTGAAGTTTAATTTTTTCTCTTGAGCTTCTTTATGATTGGACAGTTTGTATTCTTTTTAGGGAAACTGTTCAGAGCAAAAATCATATCATAAAACCACTTAACCCTTGGAATTGCTGTTAGTTATTCTAATATCGTACCATGAATGATGTAACTATTAAATTCATGATAACTTATCCTTTGGAGAAGAATCCTCGGTAATTTGTCTCGCGAGGCTTTTGCTCCAAGTTTTTTTAGTCTTCTTGGCTGTATTTCTCAATTTGCATGCCAACCTTAAGTGTATTGCATATATGTTATGCATCAGCACAGATTCTTCGTAATTTCATCTTCTTTTCTGATTTTTAAATTTTCCTTCTTAATGGATGCTCCTTTGGCTCTTTATCTGATGATTTTGTCAAGGTCACAGAGAAAATCTGATCTCAGCAGAGAATGTTATTTCTGAGAAACCAAATTTTGAGCATTGCCCAATCAAGCGGTTTCGGAAGGAAGATGCCAAACTTAGTGAATTCAGTCCCACGTCACCCTCCCAAAAAGGCACAACATCTTAACATTTGAATATCGAGTGCTCTTCTTATCCTCCCATCAGTTTCTTTCTAAAGAAGTTTCTTCTCTATTTTTCTTCAGAACGGGCAGGAACTGGAGAAAGTTATTGGTTCCAGGAACCCTTGGAAGAGGACCAAGAAGATGAATTGACAAGGTCCCTATTAATACATAAACAAAGAAAAGGAAATACCTGCTGTTTCCATCTGTGGACTATCTTCATTGAGTTTGGTTTTGCTTGGTTATGTTCCAGGGCTATTACATTGCTTGCTTTGGCTTTAGAATCATTTAAACGCAAAATGGACTCAGCTACTAGAAAAAAGTCCTCTGAGATTTTGATGTCCATTTCTGATGAGATGAAGTCAATGTCGCTGAAGGCTGAGTCTCAGATCGAATCTGATGTGTATGTACTTAAAACTGAAAGCTTTGCTGACCCATTATATTGATACTTAAGCTTTGGTTTTCATACTCTTTCAGGGGGAAGTTGACTTGTCTCAGTAAAACAAAAAGGAAACGTCTGGAAACAAGATTGCAAGGTGACAGTTTTTTATCAACTGATTAGCTTGATAGACTTCAATAAGATGCAATTGGTTCCTAATGGTATACTAAAAGTGATTATATGTATTAGTTTTTACCAATCTCAACGTTATAGATTAAGAGCCTCAACTGCTTTTCTACTTGTTCACCGATCTGGCACAATGAGCTACATTGAGCCTTGGTGCTTGTATGTCTACTTTGACAGCACATATATGCTTGAATGGACCACATGCAAGGTTTTGTCTCAGAGGCATGCTATTAACATGTAGTTAGTTATGATATATTAGCCATCGCAGTAATGTTTTTACCAAAAGGCATGTGTGGGTGTTATTATCATAAACTTGAGACATAAGTGCTATCAATCTTAGGGGTTCTCTGCATTTAAATTTTTATATTGGTAATAACTGTCAAGGAAGCCTTTATGATTTTTCTTTTTGATTTGCCATATTTTCTCACAGAGCAACAAGATCAGTTGAAGATGATACTTGAAAAGTTCAAGGAGGACATTCATCATCATCTCTTCGATTGCAATAGTATCCTTGAAGGGATGGAATATCACCAAAATGAACTAAAGGGAATCATGAAGAAACAAAGTATGACAACAATTTATTTTGAATAAGTTCCATAATTGTGACTGCATTATTGCATCTTGTTTTCGTAGATGTTTCCTTTTAGCTTAGGAAGAATTGTGACTCCATTTGCTTCATAAGGAGAGACATCTGGGATTCATTGGGTTATTGATTGATTTTCAATGCATGACAATTTATTTTGAATAAGTTCCATAATTGTGACTGCATTATTGCATCTTGTTTTCGTAGATGTTTCCTTTTAGCTTAGGAAGAATTGTGACTCCATTTGCTTCATAAGGAGAGACATCTGGGATTCATTGGGTTATTGATTGATTTTCAATGCATGGAACATAAATTACTTTTTTCCATAGATTTTCTTGGATATGAGAATATGGAGGGTGTTTTGATGCATCCCTGTTATGAACATTGGACTAAAGGAAATTTAGACTTAAGAAATACTGTGGTGTTCTAGGTCCGTCTCATTTAGCAGTTGCACTTTGAAAATTCTGGCATTAGTGATTGCGTTCACGAATACAGTATTTATGACTTCCACTTCCCTATTCTAATATTCTATAATTATTTGTTAGAGGCTTAAAATTTTAAAACTGGTTACATTGCAAAACTAACCACTAACTTAAAATTCAGAAGCAGCAAAGTGATAATTCTTTGGGAAATTAGACTTCAATGTATAGATATGGAATTATGTTTTGGCAGTCTTTTATTCACGTTTGTAGCTAGTATTATGATTAAACATATTGTGTAGTTTGAATGCCTGCTGTGTCTCGTATTACAGAAGTGTCACACCAGAAGCTTCTCATGCATGTGGAAGAAGCAGCTAAATTCCAACTTAATAATGCCGAAACAAGAATCACAGCTGTCCATGAGGCAAGTTTGATGTTTCTGTTTATGTTTGTGGTAGCTTTTCCACAATTCAGGCACTATGTGTCATCCACAGATTACGTAGGGCACCTACTATCCAAATGCTTGGTTCTGGAAAACATGTCAATACAGTTACCAAACCTTGGTGTGTAGGTTTAGATATATGAATTCGGTGCCACCAGACCTTAGGATTTGTGTGGGCATGGAAATCTATGCTATTGGGTGTACAGTGTGCTTTTATGGAATTCTATCACCAAGTACTGCTCTATGAAAAAGACCATGAGGATTAACAAGTTTATGCTCTGGGATCCTTCGGTTGCTACCTGGTTTATGTTTAAGTCCTCATACTTAGGATATTCAGCATAGACCATTCATTTTAGCATTCAAATTCTTCATTATAATCTAGAACTCTATGTTTTATATCCTGAATAACATGCACGTTTATAATCCTGATTTAATGCAGTCGGCGAGGGAAAAGATGCTGCAGCTGAAACATGAAATTGCCGAGTGCTTGACTGATATATACTGAACCGATAGAGGTCTGAAGATGGACTTGACATTCCTAAGAAGTAAGAACTAAGAAGATTTGACTTAGAAAATTTTGCATGTCCAAATATCTTCCTAACACCTTATTCTACTTAGCTATTGATTATTTACTTTCGTCCAATAGAACCTTATCTGTAATAGTGAATATTAACTTTTCGTTTGAGTGGCCTGCACTTTCCGGTCTTGATGTGCATGTTTGTTGGCTTTTATACCTGAGATGGTTCCACTGGTATATTCTGACCAAGATTTGGTCGGTTTATCTTCTTATTTATTCGTAAATGAAGGAAAATGATGGTACACTTTTCTTGGTTGTTTTCCACTGTATATATTTGCATACATTTGCTGGGAGCGATAATCCCAGTAAACGTATTTACGGTGTTCAGTTATTTATATTATCATCTTAAGTCCAGGGAGTTGGTTTCTGAATGTTTATCTAGTCTTTATGGTCCACAATCAAAGCGAGATATGTCTTCAATTTTCCTCTTTTTTTGCCCTTATTCCACCACTCCTTTATCTATGCCCCACTATCCGCTGTTGGGTGTGATATAACGAAACTGGTTTACCATTGTGGTCTTTTTCATCAGCATGGGAATTGGGACCAAAGAGAAAAAGAAAAGAAAACAAAAAATAAAGGGACAATAAGGAGTCTTGGTTAGGTTGAACACTAATAAAAGAGAGAGGAGGGGAGGAAATTTCTGGTGTTTCTCAGGCAGACACGCCAGTGTTGAAAACGAAAGACTTTGGAATTTGGGGCGTATTTGAATGTGGGATTAGGTTCTCCAATTGACAAACATTTAATGGTTTGTTGGGTTTTAGGGCTTTCATTATAGTCACCATTGTTGTGGTGGCCTACCTCCCTCCTTAGCATTGTCGCTTTCTGTTGGTTTATCCTCCAGAGAACTGGCCACAATTCTGTTTCATCCACCTTGCTATTTGCCACCTGGAAGAAGAATATCTCAACCTAAAGATAAAAAATGTGAAGATTTTGTCTTGGTCCTTTTATTATGCATAAAGTTTAAATTTAGTTCTATACTTTAGTTTGATGATTTCCCTTCAAAGTATATTCGTTTTCTACTTTGCATCCTAAAGTATTTTTTTCTCAACTCACTCTTTAAAGACTTTTTTATTGTAAAACTATAATATTTTATGTGATAGTAATATCTCAAGATAAAAGCTATTAACAATCAAAATTAAATTAAAACAATTTGATTAATTTAGTTTTTCAATTTAGCGATCTAATTAATTCAAAATTTCCAGTTTAAACGTTTAACTGGATAAAAAAGTTTACAGACTTGATTAATATTTTCAAAAGTTTGAGGACTTTAGGAATCTTTAAGCAAAAATATATAATGATTAATCTTAAAGTTGAGTATAGTAGGAGTGAAGTACAATTTTGAGCAAAATAAAAGAAGTACAAAGGCAAGAAAGTATAGGGGCACATGAAGTATAAGTTGATCACGTGAAGTGGACGATTTTTTCTTAAAAAATGGGCCTGGTATGGGAAGGGTGAGTGAGTAGTGAAATGGGTAGTCCACGTGGGAGCGCGGGTAGTCCCCCCCAGTCCACGTGAGGGGGTGTCTTACAGTCCTTGGTCTTTGACTCTTTTGTCTTCCTCACGTTTTTGAACATTCACTTTCAACGTAAAAACGATCCCCACTATCCCATGCTTATTCTCAACTCATCTTACCATTTTGGTTACCTAATACAATTATTATTCCTTTGAGTGCAGTAACATATTAAAAATTTAAGTGAGGAGTACGATTTTAGAAAAAAAATTATATTAAAAATTTAAAGGGTATAAAAATATGTTAAATTATTTAAATTATAGAAAAGTTTAAAATTTAAAATTACATCTGTTCCTTTCAGTTTCTTCCTAATTTTAAGCTTTATATTTTTAATTAATTTAAAAATTAATTATTATAAATACTGAATTGAATAACTAATTTAATGAAATAAATTTAAATAAGCTAAAAAATATTAAAATTTTTAAAGTTCTCATCACCTATATTATAAATTCAAATTCAAATTCAAGCATATAAGATAACTTTTTTCATGAAGTCAAATCTTTCGATATATAGAAGGACCAAGAATAAAATATATTCTTAGATTCTCGTCTAAAATTTTATTTGGATTGACCGTTGATGATGAGAATATTTTTTTTTATCAAATCAAGAAAGGTAAATCGTAGATATTCTCTTTGTTGTCTTGTTGTGTGTGACGAAAACGTAATTCATCGCGTTCAAATGAATTAAAGATTGTTTGGGAATGTTTGTACAAGTGTTTTTTTTTTGTCAAAATTGTTACTTGAAACGTAAAAATATTCTCAAACAATTAATTTTTAATCGAAAAATTACGTATAAAACATGATTATTGACTCAAATAAAAAAGATGAAAAAAAAATATTTTTACATTAAAAAACTTATTGAAAAAACTCGTTTAAAGAAATATTCTCAAACAAAACCATGTATAAAAACCGCAATCTTGGATTGAGAAAATCTCAACATTTAAGTATTTCAGCCACATTTGTGAATAAAAGATTAATATATAATTTGTTAACCTTATATGATTTTGCATATTATTAATAAATCAAATACTTACACCTATTAAAATATTGAAAAATATTATTTTAAAATTAATAATATATTTATTATTTAATCCATCGATAATGTAAAATAATTTACCCCATCAATATATTAATTTATAAAAGTTTTTCGGTCAATATCACACTCGGCCTAAATAATTATTCTTCAATAATGTATGCAAATAGGGTTAAGGATGAACAAGAATTTATCTTGAAATATAAAAAATTTCAATTATTTATGTATTTTATGAATTATATTTATTTTAAAATTTTATTTATATCTTTTCTTAAATAAAAATTTTATATCAATCAATAAATGGGTATATCTTCAAAAATATTTCTAAGCATGAAAATGGAAGAATTTGTAATTATACAGAATTTTAGGGATAAAGAGGCATGACGTGAAAGACCACAATTCCAGTGGTCCCAACACAGAGCTTCGTGGGTGGTGGGGCAGTAAACGTGGCAGAACACCATTTATTTTAGAGATTACGCAAAGCAAAGCTTCGGTTGTTGTGGACGCGCGCCCCATTTTCCATAAACTAGGAATCTTCCCATCCCCCAACCATCTTATTATATCACTTGTGTCTCGTAATAATTTCCCCCAACCATCTCCCCGTTTTCATCAAGACATCATCCTGTTCTCCACGGCTTGATTTGATACTCTTTCTCACTGTCGGTCTTCTTGGTTTTTTGACGGCTTAACTTATCGGATTTTCTTTCAGATTATCAGCCACGTCAAATACTTCCTGAATCCGATCATCCTTCAATGGCAGAAAAACAGAAACTTGAATCACTTCCTCCGTGGATGACACGTCACTTGCCTAATTTACCATCCACGTACGTGTATACACACACACACATATATAGCTGAACAGTGTGTTTTCAATGTGTTTCTTCTGATATTTCTTGTTTGCAGGTGTGATCCTGACGCGGCGGAGCCGATGCGGGAAAATGGTCAGATTTTGATTCGAGGTTTATCGTCCAAGAAACCCGGAAAGAAGAACATAACTTGTCTGCAAACCGGGTACCAGGAGCTACGGCTGGCTGAACTATACGAGGACGGTTACGATAAACAGGTCGTGGATTTAAATATTGCTGCTTCAAACAAATTTAACGTGCCCCAGCTTGAAGAAGAAGAGATGATTCCTCAGCAAACCATGAACAACGATATGCAAGTACCTCAATCTTTCTACAAGCAATCAAAGGAGAGAGTGAAAGCAAGAGTTGATGAGAAAAATGAAAGGGTGAACTTTTCAATCTTCTCAAGATCTCCAGCTCTTCAAAAATCTAACCAGATTCCGATAAGAATCAATTCTTTTGAAAAACAAGGAAAAAAATCCATGGAAAAAAAGTGGGTTCCCGATGAACAATCCGAAGCCGCTCCGAGTGAAGTCTCAAAGAGAAAGAGAAAACCAGAAGCTCACAGCCTATCTGAAAGGGTAAGCAACCAAATCCAACAGCTTATAAATTCAGGGTTTTGTAGTAAACTGAAATATTTGATTTCTGGGTTGCAGAGACGAAGAGATAAAATCAACAAGAAGATGCGAGCATTGCAAGAGCTCATACCCAACTGTAATAAGATGGATAAAGCATCGGTTCTTGATAAGGCAATCGAGTACTTGAAAACTCTTCAGCTTCAAGTTCAGGTTAGACTTTAGAGCCTTTCGATATCATTCCTTGGATCAATAAATACAAAAATATCGCTTAATAACAACGGGATCTTGCTTCGAAACAGATGATGTCAATGGGAAGTAGTGGTGTTTATATGCCTCCGATGATGTTACCGTCTCCGTCGATACAACATATAAATGCACGGCCTTTGGGTGGTTGTTATTCTCCCATGGCTGTCTCAATGCAAATGGCACAGTTTCCATCGACATCTTCGCTAATTCCGGCGATCAACCAAGCTAGACTCAACATGCTTGGCCTCTCCGGCCAGGTTCTATTACCGTCCATGCCGCCATTGCGATTACCCTTCGTATCGTTGACTGCTGCGAGATTTCCCCAACTACCGGTCCAGACCCCCACCGTATCCCCAGCCTCCTCCGCCGCTGTTACTTTTTCTAAATCGATGGAATGGAATCGGACACATTAACTCAAAAAACATCTACTGAAGACGAGAGTTAGCAAAACAATTGTTAAAAGTTGGAAGCAGTGCTGCAGGTCTCCTCACTCGCATCAGGTTACATTTTTGGAATTGTTCTCTTATAGATGATATGGAAATTTGATTTTTAAGTCGATTTTCATGAAATAAAAATTGAAAGAGATTAACCTGTAAATAATTCGTGCAGGAGTCTATAATTCAATCAATTTTGAGCTTGCGGATGGGATGGGAGAGCTTTGAAAACTGAGAATCAGGGGGCTTCTTCGTGTACGGGCTTGCTTACACACTGTTTGAAAATGGAGTATTTACAGTCATCATTGAGAAGATCAGCATTTCAGCAAGATTAGTTTAAGAAAAAGAGGTGAAGATATCAGATTAAGTGTTTCAGTTTCCAAAAGAAACTAGTGGTTCATTTGCAGCAGCTTCCTTCCTTCTTCGTGTAATTATGTATATATAATACACATCATGACATACAAACTTCATTTTGTACTAGTTAAGACCATTTTCTTTCCAACATAACAGTTCATCATGTTGAATATGGTCATACGTTGGAACGAAGTAGAGCTAGATTTTCACTGTCGAAATCCTTTTTACATTTGAAAATACTTTTTCTTGAATCATTAGTTAAAAGAGCGTATCAAAAAAAAAATTGAAAAGAGAAATTGTTATCAATAGTTTTGGATTAGTTATATTGATTACTTATAAAATTATTATTTTACATAAAGAAAAAGAATTATTATTAATAGCTACATCCGTGTAATTAATAATTAAGAAAGATTATAAAGAAAAAATATTTTATGATCACTCTTCCACTCTTAAAAGAATTAATTAAATTTAAGATTCAAAATGTTAAGAAAGGTTAAAGCACAATTTGATTTTATTAAAAATATATTTTTTCATAACTTTTAAAATAAATAAAAAAATGAATTGAGTCTTAATTATGATAATAATAAATAACAATAAAAATATTTAAAAAAATCAATATGCTAAAACAGATAAAAATAGTTATTTTGTTAAAAAATTAATATTTGAAAAGTAATTATTTTGGCTACTATTATTTTTTTTAGATAAAATATATGTATTATATCCAAAATAAAATACAGCAAGAAAGTTGCTACAACACCAACAGGTTCTGTACAACAAATCAATCACCAATCTCCCCCTCTATACAAATTTGTTGGTCTAAATCCCCTATATTGTGTATTAAACATTTCGCCTGTACAACCTCGCAAATCAACCCAAAAAGATGAAGGTCAATTCTAATATTATTTCTAAAACACCGCCTATTGCGTTCCTCCCAAATAAAATATATATAAGCATTTCAAATTAACTTGAGAACAACACGAGAGGTTTTACCTTTAAGCGAAGCAACAACCCAACTCAACATAGGTTCTCACTCAATCACAACCTGTCGAACCCCACACCTTCCAAGCATCCTCTCCCAAACCCCAGCTGAAAACCAACATTCAAAAAACAAATGATTCTTTGATTCCAACGCCTCCCCACACAGCACACATCATTCATCGATAGACAACTATTTTTTTTTGAAGTGCTTTGACCTCTAACGTTCTATTCTAGAGTAAAATAACTCATTGTTTGTAATACTACCGACTCGTACCCGACCCGGATACACACCTGAGATGTCATATTGACTTTTCAATACTTTGACTATTTGAAAATATGACTAAAATTTGACTTTTTACTTTTATTGGAAAATGAAAACATATTTACAAAATATATCAGAACATCTACAATTTAAACATTTATAGTACATGCCAACCAAATTTCAAATAACCAAATCACATACGATTCAAATCTGTTTGATCTGATAATCTTCAAAGGTATGTTGTCATGCTCTTGCTAACTCTGTTGACTTCTCTGAACCTACGTGTGAAAACAAACACACGCTAAGTCTTTGACTTAGTGAGACATAATGAGTATAATAAAACTATAAAACCTTTATTTAAACATTTCAGAGAAAATACTTAATACGAAATTCAATTTACGTTTCTTATAAATAAAATAGACTTTTAGGCACCGTTCAATTCATAATCAATTTACATTTCATAAAAACTACATATACAATTATACTCTTTTCAATCCATATCAATTTGTTTAATTAGCCCAACGTATATAACGGAGAACTCAAGGTATATGAGTACAATGAGGTTGTGCACTATAATTGCGGTCACCACTACCACGTAGAATTTGCACCGAACTGCCACATAGAATAAGCACTGAAGTGCAACATAGATTTGTCCCGAAGGACCGCGTAGAATTTTTCCCGAAGGACCACATAGAATTATCCTGAAGAACCGCGTAGAACCCTCGACTCTTGGCATACCAACTATACCTTTAATTCTCATAACATATACTTTGGGCTTTAATCATATAATTATTTCACATTTCATTATTCAAAGTATTTTTTATTCACATAGAACACATTCACTTAGCACATATTCACATATACATTTTCACGTAGAATATTTTCACATATAACATATTCACCTATAACATATACTCATAGTATTTCACATAGCATTGTATTTAAACCCATATATCATTTCATGGCAAAGTTCATAAACACAAATATGTCAAAATATCATAAAAATATCATAACATAAACCAAATCAATTTCGTTATCAAACTTTCAAGATTTGGCTTTTCACAAACTAAATTATTCAAAATTTATTTACCAAAGCATGATAAAAGTATTTCATAATAAATTTAAAACATTTTTCTTTCAAAACATTCGAGGTTAACTCATCGCGAGTCTTCCTCATATTATATATAAAAGTATAGTAAAATGCACTCACATTTGCCTCACGTAAGTCATAAACGAAATCATTTAGACTTTTGTTCAATCTTTTCACTACATCGACTCGTTTGATATGCTTTCGATCCAACTCTACACATTAACATGTCCAAGATAAATATTGAATCTCACTTAACATCTAACCAATTAGCAGTTACATAATTGAAACGAAACACATAATTTAAACTTTCAAACTGAATAGTATCGGTACTCTACACACAGTACATATACTTCTCTTCTATGGTATCGATACCTACTTCAGTATATATATCATTTTGACATTCTGGAATTTCATCTTCCATTACAATATCGATACCTCCACATCAGTATCGATACTACTTTAATCAATATCGATATTGTTCATCCGATTCATACTATTTCCTTTAATTCATCCGATACCCTTACTCAGAATTCACCTATTTCACTTCGAAAGTTACCCAACTTCATCTAAATCTCATACTTTTAACTCCATTCATTCCCTTAAACTCATTTACACTTATTCCAACTAACTTGTATCCATTAAAACCCCCTTTTTCATAAAAAATTCTCCATAGAACTCTTGAAACTGAAAATCATACCAATTCTTCAAACATGTTCTCAATCCTTTCTAACACTTTTAACATCTTATTCAAACCCTTGACAAGTCAAATATCCCTTTAGAATCCAAATATTAATCATTTTTCAACAATTCCCTTAAAAACCCATTTTACCAATTTACCATTAACTCATCAATCCAATAGTTTTTAGTTATCTTTAAGCTTCCTTAAGCTTCTAAAAATCAACTCAAAAATGAAAGAAACAATCAACTTTAAAATCACTTACCTTAGCCATGGTGTTCACGGTGGGAAGAACAGAAGAGCTTTCAGATTTTTCCTTTCTTTCATTTCTTCATTTTCATCGCATGTTATATAACCTTAAGAAATGAAATTTAAATTCATTTCATGCCAAAAGATCATTTTGCCCTTCCATTATTCAATATTTAATAATAAGTCCTAAACAAAATTTTCCAAAATCAATCCTTGTATATTTCAATTTATCAGACTTAAACCGCTAAATTTTAAATCCTTAAATATTAGTCACTGACTCAAAGTTTGGGGTATTACATTGTTGATGTTAACTAATAATAATATTCTTTGTTGACATGAGAAGACTTACGTTTTCAAAGTGATTATCACTTTGGTTATGTGACACATGACATGTCATGACTCATGTCACATGACATGTTATCACTCTTGTATATATATGATATGTGTCACATCATCATTTTGAACATGTGACACATATAATTGCTCATGTACATGTGACATGTATCATGTCAATACTTTAGACACATATATCTTATCACGTTAGTGAAGAACTTTAACCGTATAGAACCTATATTTTGATATAACAAATTAGGGCAAAAATATTTTTTGACTTGATTGAAATTTGTTTAAAGTTTCTTAAAAGCAATTCAAAATTTATAAAACTATAATTTGAACACAAAATATTTTTTTGGGTAAATATTACTAATATTGTTCTTACAGTATTAATACTACATGAACAATTATGATATTGTTCTTGTAGTACCGATGTCAAAGGAAAGAGAAGTGTCGACACTCCTATGATTGCATTGATACTACCTATTTATTTCAAGTTGTTCAAATTCTAAGTTACAAAATTGATACTGATACTCTAGGACTATCGATACTATTTTATATAGTAATTTTGATACCACAAACTATATCGATACTAGTCAAGCCTAATGATCATTAACGACTAGTTTATTTAAATATTATAAAGGAAGTACCGATGCTCCAAAAGACAATACTAATACTTCCTATTCTGGAAAAGTCTCCAACGGCTCCAAATCATCCAAACGGCTAGAAACGATCACAAATACATTTCAACTTATAAAAATAAGTCAAGAACACTTGAAAAAGGTTACAACATCTATCCAAGCATTAGAGGTTAAGAGAAAAGCCTTTTTACTCTTTATATTCTATATTCTATTGTACACAGTGTTCATAGTTTAATTGTAAATCTTTAGGATTCTTTCTTGTGAGCTTAGTTCTTGTCAACACATTCCTTGTGAGATTTTTCTTGTTTACATCTTTTTTTTCATTTGTAAAGGGGAGTGGTGCTAGTTTAGCCTTTAAAAACATAGAGAATTTGTAAAAATTACTCTTGAGCCTAGAAAAAGAAAGAACAAATTATTGAATATGTTAAAATCCTCAGAGTGAAGTCAAGATAGTGAATGTAGACTTTGATTGATGAAGTTGAACCACTCTAAATTTTTATGCAAATTTTACTATCCTTTTTCTTCCACACCCAAAAGGTTTCAAAAAGGTCAATTCACTCCATTTTGACACTTTCTCGTTGTTCATAGAGTCTCAAAAATCTTAACAAATTGTTACTCAACTAATAATTTCTCTACTATTGTATTCATGGATGGATCAAGGGGATGTTGGAGATGGTTGCACCCTTAGAATTTTTAAATTTCTATATAATTTAAATATTTTTTATTTTATTTTAATTACTATTTTCCTATATTTTAAAATTTTATATACATCTTCTAGATCTTTTAATATTTTTTTTTGAAGATTCGAACTAAGTGGCAGATTCAAAAATTTTA